TATCCATGTATTATTTCTATGCCTTATCATGTCCCTGCATTCGTATTCGTGCATATATATATATATATATGTCTACATTAATTTTATATATATATATATATGCACTAATACGAATACAGGGACATGATAAGGCGTAGAAATAATACACGGATAGAGCTATGCATAGAAAGGAGTATACATGTAGAAGAATATATATGATAAGAATTATAAGTTTAAGTATATATATGTTACAAATATAAATATACGTAAGTAGTGACAAGATAATAGACAGAAAGAAGTGGAAAATTCTGTTTTATGTGTGTACTCACAAGCAGCTAGGCCGACGTTTATGCATATATATATACATATATATATGGGCATATGTGCAGATATAGTTGAGTTAACAATTTCTTAATTCAGACTAGACTTTTATTTCTTTATGAATTTCGTAGGCCCTGACACGAAGTCCATCCTCTCTATGCGCAATCCTACCTCGTCCACTTGTCCATTTCGGTGGCGTTCTATCTGCTGGCCACTCGAGCGCATCCAGTCCCGCTGCTAATCGCATGTCTCTTAGTAACGCATCTTCTTAAGACGTGCTTTCTTCAACCTCACAGCCTCCATTCCATCCTCTTTTCGTACGCGCTCATTTGCAGGCCGTTCCGAGCTCCGTGTCTGCACCTTCGCCAGCCTCCGACTGTACCAACTGGCTTGACCAAACAGGGGCCCATGTTGATGGGCTTTCGACGCCGGTCTTTGGCCAAATAGGGCAGGTGGCAACATAACAGCTTTATTAACGCCCAGCCGGGACGAGTTTTGATGTTACTAGACGGCTTATCAGTAGTTGAGTCATAAAGATGCGGCATTAGCGATACACACAGGAGCGGCATTGCATTAATCAGTTGCCAAGGTTCTCCAATTTGGCCCTGACCCAATCTGTACTGCGTGTGGCCCCTACGCAACAGTCATGTGAATAAATCATAGACTGCAATCGTACAAGCAAAAGTGTGAACTATAAATCTTCTCTGCATAAGCGGTGAATATGCTTCAAGACTGCCGGTAGATGCTGAATAAGGCTAGGTCGCCCAAAGTGCTGTGTGACAGGATTGGGGAACCTGTCACAAGGAAATGAGTATTCCTTAAAGCTCGCATCTATCCTGCAACTCATCAGTACCCGCAGCTGTGGCAGAGTGGTAACTTGTCGTTATTGGATGCCGATGCCCCGGAACCGAATCCCGTTTGGAGGTCGAAACTTCCGTTCAGCCCTAATGAACCAAACTTTTGGGAAGTGGACATTCATGGATTCATTTTGAGTAGACATTCTGAGACAAACTCATATTCACGATTTAATGAAATTCCTTGACATTGTGGTGAGATACTCACCATAGACGACCAAAAGTGGCTAATTGTTACTATTCATGAATATCATCTAACCCAAAACCCTACAGAGGTAAAAAAATACCTCTGTCCATAAGCCAGTTGGTTTTAACGAATAGCTTGAGTGATGGAGACAGAGATACCACCTTACTTATCCTCGATGTCAGTAGACTTGAATTTTCTGTAGACACTCAAGTTATATAAGCTAGGCCTAGCATATCAGTAGAACTTATATGAGAGCTTTATTCATCAAATATGATGAAATACTGGAAGTTGAATTTTCACATAATGCTATGAGTAGGCCTCCATTGAATTTCCATTGCATTTTGCATAGCCTTGCTTTCCCAAAAGGCATTCTCGTTCAGGCTGGTCTGGGCTGTGTGTTTGACCTCGCCTTGATCTCATCAGCACCCCCAGCGGGACTCGAACCCGGGTCGCGGTAGTTCAGCGTATAGCCTTAAAGCGTCAATCACAACGCCGCACTTCCAAGGTCACGCTTGGGTCACAGGGCACACATGAATTTCAAGGAAGGCCAGACTTTTTCCATATCACTTTCTATGATGGGATTGTTGTTGAAGCCAAATTTAGCTTGCTTTTGTAATGGATTACATAAAAATATTTATGTATTAAAACTGGGTTTCGAAGAATCGCTTAATAGATTAACATTGGAGTATATTTCAGTTCATTTGAAGAGGCGAGTCGAGGAGATTCGTAACTTGGTTCCACCGGAGGCTGTGGTTGTAGATTCGTGCGAATAGGTCCTCGGCGCACGGCTCTACGACACCGATCAACCCTTGCTGACCTTTCGTCCGTCATGTGATGGACATCGTCAAGACAGGAAATTGTGGTTAACGAAAATTCACCAAAAGCACGAAGGCAAGGAAGGTGGCCGGCTGGATATGGAGACTATACCAACCAGTAAGCGAAAGATTAAGGAGGCGATAGGAATCAACAAGACAGCCAACATCCTAAATAGAAGAAATGAGTGTAGGAAGTTAAGTTGAAACGACTTGTGCCTATTGGATAGGTTTAGAGAGAGAGAGGGGGGGGGAACGAAAAGTACCGGTGAGCAAGAGGAGGAGGTTTGAATAGGCTTACACATGACACTTATTTCAAGAGCAATGCATTCACACAACACATGTGCAACGAGACGCAATCACATGCGATAACATTGCAGGATCAAAGACATTCGTGTTTGGTTCGGGAGGATGCAGCTGTTCGCTTTCAGTTGCACCCATTTCCCGCCTCGTCTGTAGCCACTTCACTTAACTCATGAGCGAATAGAGAAGCAAAGCATGGCACATTCAACCAAAACATGAGATGCCCAACTGGACCAAATTGGAATAGAAGAAGGAAGTGGGTTCGAAGCCGGCCACCTTCCTTGCCTTCGTGTTTTCGCGCAATTGTCGTCAAACATCATGTCCTGCTCTGACGATGTCCGTCACATGACGGACGGAAACTCGGCAAGGATTCTTCGTGGTCGCATGGCGGTGCGCCGAGGGCCTATTCGCACAAATCGACAACCACAGCTCCAAGGCAACCCCCCACAGCCTCCGGTGGAACCAACCTACGAATCCATTCCACTCGCCTCTGCAAACGAAAGGAAAGGTACTCCTTCATCAGTCTTTTAAGGGATTCTTCAAAACCCAATTTTTCTACCTTATTTCAGTACATTTATTGATCGAAGTAAGCATTATGTCGTGACTATCAATAAATCAGTAGTATGAGATATATTCACCCAATTTCTTTTAAGGTGATGAAGGACTGGTAGAAGGAGAATTTTCCCACAATGATATGAGTAGAGCTGACGTTTCCAATAATTTTTCACACAGCCTTGCTTTCCCAAACAAGGCTACCAGTTCTGCCAGTAGAACCAACCTACGAATCCATTCCACTCGCCTCTTCAAACAAAATGAAAGGTACTCCAACATTACATATTTTTAGAAGTGGGTTGACCTCGTTGTCGCAACTTGTTCTTGTTGTCCGGGAGACTTAGTAGAACGCACCTTGTCCGAAGTCCTCTGCCATAGTGTTATATTCGCAGGAAAGTAGGCATATCCACTTTTGTGAATCCTTCATCGTCCTTACTGTTCTCTCATAGTCCCCGTCCTGCCATCGGATTTTCACGGCCGGTATGCTTCTATGAATCACTTCGATTGGGTAGCCATTGCCGAGCAATATCCTCGTCGATTTGTCCAGCTTCTCGTCCCAAAATTCTACATCCGCTAGGCGTAGGCTTCGGATGATCATGCTCCTCATTATTCCCATCTTCAGCCCGTAATTGTGATGGGATCGGAAATTGAGTATTATCCCAACAGAGGACTTCTTTCTGAACAATTTCTGTTTGAGCATCCCATTAGAGCAAATCACTTCAACGTCCAAGAACGGTAACCGCTCACTTTCCTCTACTTCCATCGTGAATGTAACTGTTTCATCAATCTGATTTACAAGCTTCAGAAACTCTTCCAGTTTTTCTCTTCCACAGGACCAAAGTGTGAAGTAGCCGTCCTGGTACCGCATGAGCACTGCCGGTTGTAGCGGTGCCGTCTTGAAGCTCTCTTCTATTTTTTTCATGTATACGTTTTACCAAAAAGTGGTGAGAGCGGCTTTTATCATTCCATCTTCTATCATTTCTTGTCATCTCACCTCTTTCTAACTATTAATACCTAATCTCATCTCCTCTCATTTCATCGCTTCTCTTCTCTTCTTATCTGATCTAATCTCCCTCATTTTCATCTGATCTCATTACATCTCATATCCTCTCATCATATCTCAAATCACCTCATCTCTTTTTCTCTACTTTTTCCTCTCATCATTCCTATTATTCTAATATTTTTACCATCTAATTTCCCACTAGTTGCGTTCCTCTAAGTCTTCCTACCAACATGACCAAGTTGCGAAAACAAGGTCAAACAACTTCTCTTCTATTTTGTTCATGCATACGTTTGCCAAAAAGTGGTGAGAGCGGCGATCCCATGGGAAGTACCAAATATTTGTTCATAGATGTTCCCGTTGAATGTAAAATAGGTTGTCCTTATTGTCAAGTTGATTAGTCTTGTTAAGAGCTCCCTACCGATCCGTTGTGATTCCAGGATATCCTCCTCTCGGTCCAGCATTTCCAGCAGGGTCGTTAGTGCATTTTCTCCAGAGATATTTGTGTGCATGCATTCCACATCGAAGCTTACCAATAAGTCCGTTTCTTCCAGTGCCATGTTTTTGCCTTTTTGACAAAACTCATATGAATGTTTCACCGTGTTTGATAGCCTCTCATTTAATTTTTTGACTTTCAAACATATGAACTTTGCCAATTTGTGTGTTACTTCATACTTGTTGCTGACTATCAGCCTAAGTCGGTGGCCTTCTTTGTGTATCTTCTATAATTCGTATGCTGTTGGTGGTCGTGTATCCTTCCTTATGATTGAATTTCTTGTCTATGCGTCAATTTCCTCATTCATATGCATATCTTTCAGCATGGCACTTAAAATTTCATTGATCTTCATAGTTTGGTCCCTGTTTGGTATACGATATGTGGTCCTGTCTCGTAGATTTTTTCCCATCTTCTCGGTATATTGTTTTTTGTCCATTATCACCTTAGCTCCTCCTTTTCCCCTAAAGGACTAATTATTCATTCGTTTCCATGGTTTTGTGTATCATGGCAAATCTGTTTCTGTTTGTAGGTTCCTGATGTGTCAAGATCTTTGGAATTAGTTCCATCTTCATTTCCCGTTTGGCCTCATCAGGGAACTTGTCGTGGATATTGATAACCTCCACCAAGATGTCTCCTAGAAGACTCCTGCGATGTTGAATTGAAAAATTGAGTCCTTTTTCCAGGAACGCGGTTGTTTCGGGATTGAGAGGATGTGATGATAAGTTTAATACTTTCTTCTTATCATCGTGCTGATCAGTAAGTGTTGCCACCTCGAAAGCCACTTCAACTGAGCGTACTGGCTTTAACTTAGGCTGTCTTATAATCCCAAACTTACACAATTTATCGTCATGCCGTTTTGTTATTAAGTCAGATATCCTACGTGATTTCCAATTGGTCATGCTCTAGAGTTTTTTAAAGTCTTTCGAAGACAGGATCCTCGTCAGATCACGCCGGAGCTTTTACTTGTTATCTACAAACTCAAACAGCTTATTCCTCTCTGTAACATAAGTCTTACTTAGTTTATGAATAGAAACCTGGTGGAGATAATCATTAACCTTATCCGATTGGTATGGTCTCTTAAGATCACAGAACATAGGAGGGATACCATAGTGCTTACAACAGTTTTAAAAAGTCAGATGGGAAAATTAACTTGCAATTGTCTTCTTTGTCCGGCTTATTCAGTGCATTGTCTGGCAATTTCACTACTGTAGTCTAATCGAAGATATGAAGACCAAGATGTTGTGGCCTCTGGTATGATCGAAATCACCTTTGGATTTATAGAAGTGGGTTGACCTCGTTGTCGCAACTTTGTCTTATTGTCAGGGCTGCCTAGTAGAACGCCCTGCCATAGTAGTTGTCATGATTCCCAGCATCAGACAGTGGACTTGGTACATTCTCAAACGATAAAAGGGTAAAAAGTAGATAAATAGGCCAGAACAAAAAAGAGAAGTGATAATGTAACCGTTTTTGACAGAACTTTTGTCGAGGGATTGACTCCAATTGTCTCTTTGACAAGTTTGTAGGTTGGTGATGATGATGCCGACTACGATGCTGGCGAAACGTTTGAGAAGGTACCAAGTCCACTGTCTGATGCTGGAAGACGACTTCGGACTAGGTGTGTTCTACTAAGTCGCCCTGACAACAAAACCAAGTTGCGACAACGAGGTCAACCCACTTCCATAAATCGAAAGGAGATTCCGACCATACCGGAGGCCACACCATCTTGGTCCTCATATCTTCGATTACATATTTTATTTTGCAAGTAAGTTTTTAGACTACCAGTCGACCTAATTTAAGAGCTTAGGGTGATGAAAAATAGTAGAATACCTTTTGGGAAGCAATACCATGTGAAATCCAATGGAAACGTGAGGCCTATTTATATGAAATTAGGAAAACTCAACTACGAGTCCCTCACCACCTTAAACGAATAGTGTAATTACAGCTCTAATACTAAGAATGTAAATAAGTGAAACAACTGTCAGAAGCCAGGTTTTGGAGAAGATCCCTATTATATACATAAAGCTCAAGTCTACTGATATAAAGGATAAGAAAGGGAGCTTACTTCGATTTCGAGTGAAAGTTTTGGGTAAAGAGATTCACAGGTAAGTTCCACCAGAAGACGACGGCGGGTTCCTCTTGACCAGCTGTCGATTTGCTTTACTGCAACATTCATGATGACGCTGTTTCCGAGGTAGTCTCCTTCGATTCCAGTGAAAAGATGCTAAGCTTTCGTCCGTCACATGATAAACATCATCAGAACAAGGTATAATCGTCACAACCAAATGCAAGCTAACAAGTCAGGCGAACAGAAACAGGCACATATACGTACAGAGACAGACACACTCGCATACTTCGAGGTTGCCAAATCACTTTATACGTCATCAAAGAGATGAGACATAGAATATATTTACAGCTTTTTAGGGTTGTTTAGATGAGTTTCCTTGACTCGTAGACTTGAATTTGGTTGTGACAAGAATACCTTGTAATGATAATGTTCGTCATATGAAGGACGAATGCTTAGCACCTTTTCACCGGAATCAAAGGAGATTGCCTCGGAAAGAGTGTCAGCATGAATCTTCCAGTAAGCCAATCGACAACTGGTCAAGAGGAATTCGCAGTCGTCTTCTGGTGAAGGAACCGACCTTCGAATCTCTTCACTCAACACTTTCACTCGAAATGGAATAAGCTCAACAATAATGAAACAAGAGATTCCTCGAAACCCAACTGTTCTTCGCATATATGAGCGTATCTTGCTCTATCACCCAGGTTATTTGTCAAAATTATCTTGTTTAAGGACAGAATACCGGCTGAATACACTTCTCATGCAACACATAGCAACTTAAAGCCGAATGTGAGGCAAGAATGGTCTCAACTTCTTTGTAACTTAGCCACACCAGCATATTGGAGTCTGGAAATTTGCGTGTTTGTCCTTGAGCAAGCAAGTCCAGACCACAAATTCTAGACCCAGTCAAGGTGGCGACTGAAGTCCACTTTGGTTCAGAGAATAAAATTACTTACTTTAACTTCCTTATTAGTTGCTTGCCTGGTACCAATTAACGGATAATAATCTTCACAGCCTAATTCAACTTCAGCTCTACCGATCGTCATTCAGAATCGCATGACTTGATAAGTGAGTCAAGCTCAAGTGAGCTGAGTTAATTTGACCTGTACTTTAACGAAACTCAGTATGGCCAAAATAAATAAAAAATATATGTTTATATACTTTTGCTAAGAGCCGAGCTAGTATCATAATATACCTTTTTTCGATCCTCCTGCAATTCCTCTTTGACGTCACAATTCGCTTCTCAATATATCCTTCTTTTTGCGTTAGCTGAGCAAGCGATGAGTCTCTGAGAGACTTTAAATGATTTAGAGTGGCTTGATTCCTTATTTAAAATAAATGAATTTGTGAATTTTCTCCACCAGAAACCGAAGCAGGTGTGAAGCCTATAGGATCATCGTACTGTGGCTCCGATGAGGCCATGCGGAGAGCTCGTTTTTCGTGTGACCGAAATCATCAGATCAAGAAACATAACTTGCGAAAAACCGCTTCAAAATACGATGGCAAAAGCAAAGGTTACAAGCTAACTCACTTGTTATGCCTATTTTTTCAGACCTTAACGGAACTTCCTATGATTTGGCTGTTTACTTCATGTTTGACCCACATGATTGCTGAGTGACACAAATTTATGAAAATAAAATGAATATGCTCATGGCTGTTTCCTTGCCTACATAAACACGAGGAGGCTAGTTAGAGCTATCCTACCTAGCATGAATTGAACACCACATACACACAAACGACAATAGCATGTGCCTAAACATGAATCAACATTAGAAGGTAAGGAAAGAGCTGTCACCAAATCCACTTACTGTCATGATTTAACCTTACTCATGCGCAGGCATTTAGAGTAAGTCTGTGATATACAATCAATTTATGGAATGCTCCGTTAAAACTCAAGGAAATGTGCATTAAAAAGCTTAAAACTCTACTTACACATGACAAATAAGTAATGTAGTCGATTGCTATAGCAAATGTAACTTTGCTTCATCGAAAATACTACCACAGAAGTTGATGTGGTAAACTGCTTAGCTTTCATTGAAGTTCATTCGTGGAAGTCTGTCGAGATTATATACTGCCCTACCATGGATCGAGCCCCGCTGAGGGTACTGATTAGACCCGTCTAGGCGAGTTCGAAACTGCAATCCAGTGCAATCGAACCGGAAAAGCAAGTCTATATGAAATTCAATGGAAATGCAAAGTCCACTCATATGAAAGTGGGAATATTCAACTGCCAGTCCCCTTATGACTTTAAACGAAATATGGGGAATGCCTCTCTAATGCATAAAAATGTGATTAGGGTTGCAGCTGGCC